ACTATACGATATTCAAACGATCATGTTCGCAATAATAGACAGATTTTTTCTTATGAAATTGATTAAAACCGTTTCTTGGTATACATGTAATCGCGTTTAACTTCATGTACAATTAGTAATTTTGCCTAAGTGGAATCTGACAAAATTCAAAAGTTACATGATCTATAACACTTACATAACATAATTTGTACATTTACAATATTCATTTAAAGTAATTAATCTGCAACTTTGCGGGTACATGGAATTATATACATATATGTATGCCTTTATAATTAATCCGTTGATCGATACATCTTTTGAATATTATTCAACTTTGCTTAACTTCTTCTACTCCTGGCAAACCGCAATTATAGACTTATATACATAACGATTTACAATCAAAATATTTTTTATAACAATGATCCAAAAGCGTTTCTCAAGTTTGAAAAAGTTCCCTTCAATTACGCGCGTTCACTGTATACTATACATTAAAAACCCTGTGATTATCAGTTCATTTTTATTTGTTTATAGTACTAATCCGAAACGTAGCATAGTATTATACAACAAAATCCACATAACACAAATAAGCGCTAAATTATTTGTGATATCGTTTGAATTAAAATGTTTAGGATTTGGAACCCTGAACAATATTTTCAGTTACAAATTACATAGCGAATAATCCTTTTGGCTATGTATGATCGGGTTTACAACTAACTAAAATCAGAATCATCTATAGAATAGCGAATTTATTTATAAAAAAAAAAATGTTGATCTTTATTTTCTAGAATGTTTTAAAAATAATAATTCATTTTAAAAACTGTAAATTCATTTTAAAAACTGTATGAAAATTTAAAACTCTTTGAATTATAATTAAATTTATACGTACGTATGGTATTTAAATGTATCGATTTTAATCGGTTTGAATTATTCGCAATTTTATACAGCCAACGCTGAAAGATTTATATAAATATTTTGAATCGTTTGCCAAATTGTAGGATTTGTAGGATTAAATTAACTCAGCAAGAATTAATTATTCGTTTCGTGCAAACACAATACAACTTATGTGTAATATATATACATATCAAATACGTATTTTTGCAAACAATGTAACAATATAGTGAACGTGTTGGTTGAGGTGCAATGGACTTAAATAATCCAATAACAATCATTTCAATTGCGAACTAGAACATGATTAAAAGTATTTTGCAACACGAACTTATATACATGTATAATATTTTTTATACCAAATCGCCATCTTGTGCATTTATATTATTTAATATATATTGCGTTTCTGTATTTGTAGACGACGAGTTCCACGGCAAGCCGCCCTCGGCCGAAGGTCTCAAACAAAATGATTTAAAAACTAGATAAACTTACAACACACACACACACACATTTATGTATATATTGTATTATATCATATTTGTATGCCTACATTAATTTCCCCGGTCTGTTTTAGGTGTTTATTTTGCTCGAGTGATTGTGAGCGAGTACTTATTTACACGATCTTACGTTAATCCTTGACTGTATATGCATATAGAATAATAAGTGAATAGACAGACGCACACAGAAACGTTGGAAACCAGTTTCTTGATCATACGAACTTTTCAATAACACCTATAACTACAAACACATAATTTTCATTCGTTTTCGCGTTGACAAATGTACGAAGTGGTATCGGTCCTTGGAGATGTATATATTTATATATTCAATAGGTGTACATAATCAATTATAAAAAATAAAAATAAAAAAATCATACATATGCATTCATGTCGTGGTCCCTTAGGGTCATTACCGACTGCCATATTTTTTATGATCGAATTATATAAATAATATAATAACAGTATTACGTAAAACGTTAAAGTCATATGTTCTGCTGTCCCGTAACGTCTTTAAAATTGGATGCGGTTTCGGTATTTCATTCTTCCGGATTCCGAATAAACGTAAAAACGTTCCAGAGAAAAAAGAATTTGAAAAGGTCGATGGAAAATAAATCGCGTTCGGTAAAAATTCATGAGAAATCCTGTCAGCGAGCCGTAGGTAGGGTATATTTGTTTCTTCGTCCAATTCGCTTTGGGGTCACGTAAAGTTTGCAGCATTGTAGGGACACAACTTTTGTTTCTCTCTCACTGTCTCTCTCTCTAAATCACCGTCGAAACAGGTAGGTACACACAGTATATACGTACTCGTTTACGTGTTACCGTATGTACCATGTGCCCGTATGTACATAGGCTTCAAATCGGCTTTGACCAATCGATGGTGAACCGGTCTGCGTTAAACGACAAACGCACCGCCTCGTTTTCAAAATGGTCGTCGTCATGGTCCCGGTTTTCATGCGTAGATATATACATATTCATACGGTATAGGCCTTCGTTCCTTCTACCGCCGCCTTCCGCGACAAGTTCTGATTTATTTATTTATTTCTATTTTTTTTTTTTTTTTTTTTTTTAATTGAATATTGATCGTAAACGGAACGTCGTCCATTATTTTTTTTTTTATTTTTTTCCTTTAAGGTTTTTTTTTCGCCTTTTTTACCCGACACGCGTGTTCCGAGGCAGGTTTATGCGATCAGGTATGTATACGTGTACACATTGCTGTGACCAAACCGTACGCGTTCGTGTACACAAATATTTACCTTTCTACCTAGGTTGTGTGTGTGTGTGTGTGTGTGTGTGCGTAAATAAAGGTACGCCGTCATGATTTGTCGAAGACAACGGGCAGGGGAGAGTCGACCGACATTCGACCGTCACGACCGTCACGTGACACGCCTATTCTCGTCCTCCCACCCCCGATTGACATACCTGCGTGCCTATCGGTAAAATATTAAACGCGTACGTACTTGTGTGAAAACGCGACGGTCCGAAGGCAAACCACGGTTACCTGCCTACACGTCCATCCGCAGATGTATACGCGCGTGTACGAGTAGGCACGTTGAATTATTGCACCGAACGGGTCCGACGCGATTGTCGACGGAAACATGTCCATAAACGTATTCTTCCCGATTGAATTTTCGTCGTGCACATTTACTGTACGGGACGTACTTGAAACGTTCGGATGAGTCATTTTCACGAGTTTCCGTCGACGGATTCAATCGCAAACACACCAGTTACCGCCATTTTGATGGAATACCATACGTGAGCCACAAGATCCGTCGTGAACACGTCGTATGTAAAGATTTTCCTGACGACGTGATCGCGGCCTAATAAAGCGTATAATAAAATTACTCGGATCGACGTTGCTCTGTTATAACCGTCAGCCGCAAAATCCAAATAAATGCCGTACGAGCATTATAACTATTGGTTAATGCCACATACTACTAAGGACGAATATTTTTTCACGTTTTCACTTCAATAACCCAACTCTGCAGTATAAACAATACACGCCGTCGGCACTCCGTCGTTCTTATCGTCAGTCGAACGCAGCCCAAAGTTGTACGCAGTGTTAACAAACAAGAGACTCGACAATCAGCGATCGGACTGCACGTATACAAGGAGCAATGCATTATGACACGATTAAATATATTAAATATTTTTACACGACGAGTAATATTTGAGGAATGAAGAATTTCCTCTTTCGTCTTGTATATCATAAAAAACTATTGGAGTAATAAATTATATTACATGTTGTGTCAATGTATATAAATACCTATCAACTATAAGTAATAATAATAATACTCTATACAATTCTACACACATGTCCACCACAGACATAAAACAGTATACAACCGGTATTACTCAGAAATACTTTCCGCATAAAAAATAATTTAAATAACGTGTAGTCAGTAATTATATACGTTTCTTTCACGATCTGACAATTACAGGATCGTGAAAGAAAATCGGCTTTAAGAGAAAAACTCTACATAACATAATGAAGGTATATACTTCGGTAAATTTGAAGATGGTAAACATTGGTTTTATTTTTTAATAGTTATACCTGTATAATGTATATATTAATCGTTTGGTTTTAAAAAATACCTTACTGCATATTTTGCGTATTTTTTGTTTACTTGTTTATAACTATGTACAAATTTATTTATTTTCGACACAGCATCTATATCACTTAATCTTGTTCTTACAGGAAAATATTAAACAAAACGCATTTCATTTTTTCGCACATTTATACTGAAATTTATGTCAACAAATTATATCTCTTTTTATCAATGATATTAATAGTAATAGTTTGTGGATTTTTCTTTTCAAAATGATTATACAGAATGATAAAACATAGGGAAATAATCTACGTGACAAAACAGTAAAACTATAAATATTCTATAATTATATTCATATATTTATTTATTTATTTATTTATTTATTTATAATTGAATAGTGACATAAATTTTTGTTTTCAATCAGCTGATATAGGTATTATAAAAAAATATCCATTCGTCAAATGTTAAATAGAATTACACATGGATACAATACGTATTAGAATTAATCAAACAAAATGTAATTTCGAAAGACTTCGTTGAAACAATACTACCGTTTGACTAATGCATGTATAATATAAACATATATATATTCATATATATGTGTGTGTGTGTGTGTGTTTATATTATTGTAATAATTTGCTGGTGGCAATTAGGTCTCTCAATATTTAATATAGTATGTGTTATGTAAATGTGTGCATTGAATATATTACATACATAATTATAATCCTGTTATGGCTATTTTTGATTTTGACGATATTAATAAAATTATTTTTTTCCTCACATCATTCTTTCACGGTGCACATTAATTGTTTCCATATGCCGTTAAATATAAGATTGATAGCATTTTGTAACAATAACAAATCTGCTTAGATTAAATAAGATTTCTGAAACATTTCAATATAATATAATAAAAGATAATATGATTACATAAAATATAGAATAATTTGTTTTCTATTTATGGAAACTTATGTTTGTCGCTCAAAGTGCATTTTATTGTTAGAGTAAATGGTTTTTGTTGTTCGTTACACACGAGTGCTAATGATGGACCCGTTGCTTGTCTAAAACTTAATCTATATCGTACTTATGTCCATAGGGTTAGAAAGGATCGCTGAAGAGTTAATGGGAAGAAGAAAATGGCACCAGTATCAAGATATTTTAACCAAAAACTATTTACTGGAAGAAGAATTGATGGACCGGAGAGAATGGGTTCCCGTAAAATCTTTTAATTCATGTGATGTGAACACAGACCTAAGTGTAGCGGATCAGTTACCTGCAGAGCTGGTAAATTAATATGGATATACAATAGCAATAGTAAACACGTTTTATAATATAATAATGTAATTAATCCAGTGTACATATTGTACATATAATAATACAATAGATCAGCGTTCAATGGCTTACCGTCGTAACCAATAAGAATAATTTATATCATATACCTATTATATATATCACATTTTTGTCGTTGTGTGGAAATTTATAATTTTTTAGTGCAACGCTTACCTTTTAAACACCATAACTCGAAACCACTAGTCAGTGCCGCCGTAAGCTTTTGCGAGGCCCTAGGCAAAAGCAGTAAAATCCCTTACACATAAAAATATCTAGCTATTCTAAATTAACAGCCCCCGAGTAAGTGCGAGGCCCTAGGCAACTGTCTAGGTTTCCTACCAGTTAACGACGGTACTGACACTTGTCAATTTTCAAATTACCTCCGTTTTGCGTGGTAGTATATACCATTTTATAAAAATGATTTTCCCCTTTATTAGGTTAGGTACTGTTATCAAGAAATTCTTATTATTCATGGTCGTATTTTTATTTATTGTTTATTTTTCATAAACCATAAAAAACCAGAATAATACGTAACAAAAGAAAATTTTTGCATTTTATTATTTATTTTCATTCACGTATATTGAATATAAATGCATACACAAGTGACATACCTTTCAATATGTAAAATTTAGACATTGTAAAATAAAAATCGGTTATATAGTTTTTTTAATTTTTTATTTTACATCAAGATAATACACGATCTGTATGTAGGCCACAATATGTGGTTTAGAATAATAAATGTACATTTTAAAAAGCCCATTTAAAACACTTGACTGGGAATGAATTTTATTCAATATTTTTATTTCGTATAACCAATAACTGTAATATAATAGTGATATTATTAAATACGTGTGGGTTTCAGTACGCACGATCACCATGGTATATGAATGAATTGTACATTGCTACACTATTTGATATTTGTGTTCGTCAAAATCAACGATAATGTGATATAGAATATTTATGAGTACCCTAATACGAGTATTGTAAAAAAAAGTATAATTTCATGAGCACATTATTGTGGTTTTGCTACTACATATATATATATATATACACTTAAATACAACCGAACCTATTATAATTTATTCTAAATTGAATTATTTAATCTAATTAAATTTAGTATTTCTATTTCGTGTATCCTTGACAGTTGACACTCGTTGGCTGTATCGATTGATGGCATTAAATCATAATTCATTTGGACGCTTATATTAAACGTGGCTGTATATTATGACGATAGGTTAGGCCGTGGTTGCAGGTTTATACATAGTTCAGTCTAATGAATCCATTCTATATCAATTTAATTTTACTTTGGTACACAAATATTATTGGTGTAATTGAGTTCGTCAGGCAATGGGCACCTACTTAACCTAATGCACTTTAATGGTTTTATGTAACGTAAGTGCACTATAATAGGACCACGGTGTGTTTATATATTTATACATGCATATGTATAGATAATATTAATAACCTATAAACTGTATAACCTACATATGTATCTATAGTTATGTTGTTTAAAATTATTGAATAAATTATTTTTTCGTACGGTAGAAACTAATGAACATCACTTATATCTATGACTGAAGCGAATCTAAAATCAGTATTTAGACATACTGTACATCAATATTATTAATTTAAATATTTATAATACACGTGTACATAATCAATAGTCTAAATTCACTTTATGCATGCATATTTTTCATTCGTATTTATTTGTTTTTCGGCTTACATTAAAATCGAAAGTAAGGAGAATACGTACAAATGCGGAAGTAGAAATTATCAACGAAAACCCTAATGTGTGGGCGTGTACGATACTACCCTAATCTATAATTGTATATACTACTATTCTATTATTAAAACAATATATTTATATAATCGTATATATTATAGAAGTCATTGCACGAATTTTTCTTTTCTGAACATTCACATTTGTCACATACATAGATTATTTTAAAAAATACGAAACACGTATCTTTTCTCTGCGTTCATATTAATTAATACTACAAATATAGTGCATTTCTACATGAGTGTAGTACAATATATTCCATCGATCTCCTTTATATTTTTTTATTTATTTTTTTGATTCCAAGTGAAATTACGAATGTATTGGTTTTACTGTGTTATGATTTTTAGCTTATGCCTGTGTACACGATTTCGGAAGATTAATGATTGATTGCTCTGACAATCACCAAATAAAAAATAAAATATAGGAAATGGGTTCTAGTTGATATTTAGAGGAAGGTCACATTTGTTGAATTTCTCAACAGTTTTCCGATTAAATGGGAAAAACTGACGAAAATTTATAAAAAAAAAAAGGCAAAATTTACTGTATACCGATTTTTCATAAAATAAATTAGCGTTTTCTTTGTAATCCAAAAACAAGTAATCGTAAAAACATTCAATTTTCACTGAATGTTTATATTTCCATTTTTATAGATGATATAGTTTATAAAAAAAAAAAAATGTATGTGTCATTTATGAATTCGTCCCGCGATTCGCATCATTCTTATACCGACTAGCAATAAATGCAATCTATCTGCTGGTTTTTTCGATATTTTCCTTATCGCTCACTGCAACTGCAAATTTCGACCGATTTCACGGGCTTGACTTTTACGAGCTCTATAGTTTCGTAATAACGTAGAATAATCTTCAAAAATATTATTCACTATCATCTCGTTGTAAAACGAAACACGCATCGTGTTGTTATGATTTGTTCGTCAAAAACATAGGGCGCACCACGTCCGCGTGCAACGTGCATGCATGTGCAACGACGCGTTGGACCGTCTTCGACATAGCGCCTGGCGCGTCGCATGACGATTTCGTTTGTCGTCGTCGGCGCTTGTTGTCATTGTTGTTAATGTTGTTGCGATCCCTCGACATTACAGTGTCTGTTGTGTTCGCAGGAGCCATCGTCTGAAACGGGAAGCTTGAGCGGCGGCAGTCGCAGCGCAGAGAGTCCGGAACCGGAGCCGGGCAGACGGCCGTCGTCCACTCCGCCACCGGCGGCTTCAGAGCCGTATCGCGCCGATGACCGGTCGCCACCACCGCCACTGCTGCTGCTCCCCAACGCCTCATCCGCGGCCGCAGCCGCAATGGCAGCAGTCGCGTCGCTGAACAACTCGTCTCCCTCGTCGGCGACCGCAGCACCGGCGGCGGCCGGACCTCCATCGCCTGGCGCGTTGGACGCTGCGGCCGCGGCCGCCGGCCTGCCCAGATGGCTGCTGGCCGCCGCCACGCTGAGGCTGCAAGAGACCACGGCCGCCGCAGCCGCTGCCGCCGCAGCCGCAGCATCAGCTGCCGCGGCCGCAGCCGCTGCGTCCGCAAGCGGCAGGTCACCGGCCGACCCACACCACCACCGCCACGGCCAGCCGCAGCACCACCACCAACAGCCGCTCGACCAGCCGCTCGATCTCAGCGCCAAGAGCAGCAGCAGCAATAGTAACAGCAATAGCAACAACAATAACAACAACGGCTCGGCGACGGGCAACGCGTCATCTTCGTCCGCGACGTCCACACCGACGTGCCCGAGCGCTTCGTCCACGCCGTCGTCCGAGCTGAAAAACGTGGCCAACGCGGCCGCCGTCAACCCGTTCACGCCAGATCTCATAGCTACGGACATGATGAACAAACTTCACAACCTAATACCGAGCCCGTCCACGTTCCTACCGCACCAATCGCTCAATGCAAACCCGTCGCTCAACGCCGGCAACCGGAACGTGTTTAAGTGAGTGCTGTTACGTGTTTTTTTTATTCATAGCGACGATATTCTACAGCTTAGGCTGGGCTCACAGGGGTTTAGTACTTGGCTGAGTCGCCAAAGCAAGTTGCTTCATTTTTCTTTTTGTGAAAATATCCACATAATAATCAGTCAGTAATACTTTATTAGTAACAAATATTGTAATACTTTTGCAGGTATGCAGTTACAATAATCTGATATAACCTAACTATTGAATATAAGTCGAATGTGTTAAACATTTATTTATAATCAGAAATATTTTTTTTTTCTAATAATACTATAAAAATACTTAATCTTATCACAAGTTAAGACAAAGAAAAACTTAACTAAAACAACTTTTAATACAAATTTATCAAAAAATATTATAATAATGATAAAATTACATTGACTTTGGTACTGCTACATTCCTACAAAGCTCATCGGTAGAATGAACAATAATCAATTTTACTATATTATGTTTAGACACGCACTACACGCAATTTAGTACTCGATTTAGCAACTTGCTTTGTGTCTCGGTCAAGTACGAAACCTGTGTTAACCCAGCTTTACACTGTGTATATGTACAGAAAAAATACAAATTAATTAAAAGAAAAAAAAGTTGTACATAGAATTGGGATACACTACGTACGAATATGGTGTAACCGAAAGAGTTAACGTCGTCTACGCACAACTTTTTGATCCGACGAATTTCGATGTAACATAATTTTAACGACCATCGAAATATCAGCACACTAATGATACTATAAATCATGGCGTCATTCAACGTAATTCATCCGAATCCTTTCCCTAATGTTACGTTTTCTTGTCAGAAATCCCAAAGTTTCGTTTATTAATAGTGTGTCCTGTTTGCGGAATCATCCAGTGATCGCATTGTAATAGTCACTATACTTGCAAGCAAGACATAACGAATACGAATACACGCATGTCTTAAATGAGATTTATGCCATTTATAAGTACGTTTCGGTTTTATGAGTTCGTAAATAAGCATGTGCGTGTGTTTCATGCAGACATCCGATCACTATTTTACGATGATAATATGGTCGGTTGTTTTATCCAATGTGTGCGGTCGTAGTGGGTACGAAAAGCACAAAGGCTATATATGATAAATACATATTATACGTTATTTTATGTATTTTTCGTATACAAATGCATTGACCAACAATGTTTACGAATCCGCGGTGAACATGTTTAGACGGTAAACCGAGAAAATGAATCGTATAACATTGTGTAGTAATTATAACCGTTTACAAAATTAGAACGTGCAGGATGGTAAATGAGGTAAGATCATTAATTTTAAATGGACAGGTGTGTATATGTGTGTGTGTTAAGGATAAACAAATGAACAACGGCACGACATAATTATCTTGGTAGATGGAACATGATAATAACGTTTCTGATGTTTGGTATGCACTCCACGTATGGAACTCAATCAAAGCAATACATGTAATCAGTAAATCCATCCTCATGAATGGCGTGCACATTATTAAATAACTAAGTGTATTTGCTTTTCACCGTATTAGGTTAACCTTGCATTTTAAATAACTCCTCACAAGTTGATATTTTCCATAAATTATGTTGACAGTACCTACACGGAATTTTTACGTGTACCTTAACCTTTAAGTGGGAATAGATACGCGCTTTGGGGTTTTACAGGTTCCAAAACATGAATACGCGTACAAACGCGGTACGGCCATAAAGCACACGCTTCATCGTCTAAATTTTAGACTTTCCTTTTAGACTCTAAAAGACCTGCTCTTAGAATTCTGTTCATTGTTTCAATAATACGATATATTAACCTAATCCAACCTAGGTACCTTAATAATAATGATTATTCTGATTTATTAAGTTTTAATTTGAAATATTTCAATACACGATCAAAAACACCGTTTGCGTGGAATCTCGTGAATATTTGTTATGTGTGTAAATTAAGGTTAATGAACGAAAACCTACGCTGCAACGCACATAAGGTTGCCGAACAGGACGATCTGGGGGAAAGAAATGTTTACAGCAAAAATTCGCTGTTTTTATTAAAACCAACATAATTTTTGGAATAGGTTGAAGACAACAAAACAAACCAGTCACATGGCCGGGAGGAAGACGTACACGGAGGACGAGCTGCAAGCCGCGCTCCGGGACATTCAGAGCGGTAAGCTGGGCACGAGGAGAGCGGCTGTCATATACGGTATCCCGAGGTCGACGCTCAGGAACAAGGTGTACAAACAACTGGCACTGGAACGGGACAGCGGTGGAGGTATCAGGGACGTGTCGGCTGGCGTGGATGACCCTGGTACAGTGGTCAGCGCCGAGCTGCTAGAAGAGGACGACGAGGACGACCGAGACACGACGTCCGCGGGTGAAGACGATTTCAGCAAATCGACAACGGACAACAGGGAGCACCACCAACAACACCACGTACACCAACCACCGCATCGCCAGCAGCAGCCGCAGCCGCAGCAGCAGTCGAACCGCGTCCCGCAACCCGCCTGCAGGCAGTCCGCGACGCCGTACATGACCATCGAAGAACTGATCCGGTTATCGACGGAACAGCAGCAGCAACAGCAGGCCGTGCCTTCCACGGAAACGCTCCGGTTGTTCCTGCAGCACTACACCAACAATAAACTGAGGACGGAATATCATCACGGCGGAGCGGACGGCACGGCGGATACCGTGCGGCGGTCACCATCTCCGTCGGCCGCCAGGTTGCCGCAACCACCCGTGACCGCGGACTTGTGGCCCGCAGCGGCCGCGGCCGCCGCAGCCGCCGTGGCGTTGGACCCGCAGCACATGGGCACGTACCTGGCGCAGCTGTTGTCCCAGTCGGTGGCGAACGCGTCGCCGTCAGCCGCGCTCGGCTCACCGCACTTACCCGCGCGCGACAGCCCGCCACCGCCACCGCAGCAGCAGCCGTCCCAGCACCAACAAGACTTTCTTAAAGAATTCACCGTCAAGGAGATGATGCGCAAGATGCTTGATGATGAGCAGCAGCGGTATGGTGTCAAGTCGTTGGACCCGAGACGGTGGCCGTCGAACGGGTGCAGCTCGTTCGAACCGATGGACACGGGTCGCAGCAACGACGACGACTCGAATCAGTCCGTCATACTGAAGGTTCCGCAGTATAAGCCGGTGCCCGGGGCCAAGGGGTCCGAATACGAAGCGGCCGGTGGCCGGGAACCGCGGTCCCCGGGACGCGCCAACAGCGTGCGGAGCGATACGTCCTCGCCGCCCTCGTCGTCCGGCGGCGGTGGTGGTGGTGGTGGTGGCAAACACTCGATCAACATGAGGGAAGTGATTGCAAAAAGCATCACGCATAAGTTCCAATCGGCGGCCGATCAGCCGCTGCCACCGCCTATACCCGCGGTCGAGTCATTCGCCCGCGCCTACCATCAGTACCAGCAACAGCACCAGCACCACCAGCAGCAGGGCATGCCCTCGGCCGTAGCCGCTGCTGCAGCCGTATTCGGGTCAGGCAGTCCCGTAATGGTCAGGAACCATAACAACAACAACCTGCTGGACGACTGTCGGAAACGGGTGCCCACGCCTACCAAGTCCGCGTCGGTCGTGACTAATTCGTCCAGTGGCGGCAGCGGCTTTCACGTGGGTGGCTCGTCGTCTTCGTCATCGTCCAATTCGGCGGCGGCGGCTGCGGCTGCTGCGGCCGCGGCGGCGGCGGCCGGTGGCAAGGGCACAAGACCGAAACGTGGCAAGTACCGGAACTACGACCGGGACAGCCTTGTGGAGGCAGTGCGCGCAGTGCAGCGGGGCGAGATGAGCGTGCACCGGGCCGGCTCGTACTACGGCGTGCCGCACTCGACGCTCGAGTACAAGGTCAAGGAGAGGCATCTGATGCGACCCAGGAAACGCGAGCCGAAGAACCCGCCATCCGCGTCTTCGGTGTCCTCCGTGGTCACCGAACAGGACCGGAAGAAATCGTCGTCTGACCTGCCGTCGTCGTCGGTCCGGTCAGCCGTAGATAAGGCATCGTCCACGACACCGCTAGCCGCCAAGCTCCCCACGCACGTGTTCCCGTCGCAACAGCCGCCGCCTCCGCCACAGCTGCAGGCGCCCAATGGGCTGAAGATGTTCGACGCCGGCGGCCCGGTAGGTCCATTCCAGCCGTCGTTCCCGTTCTGGGCCCCGAACCCGTTTCACGTTCCCATCGACTTTGCACGCGGCTCGGTGAGCTTCCCACCCATCTCGATGATGCAGCGCATGCCGGCCGAATCGCGATTGCATCATCATCACCAAGCAGCCGCGGCCATCGCCAGCCTTGGCAAAAACGCACGCGAGGTAGCCGAAAATCTGTACGACGGTACGGACAACGGCAGTTTCTTGGACGGCATCATACGGTCCAGCCTGGAAACTGGACTCAAGACGGCCGCCGCAGCGGCTAAGGCCCAGGCGGCCGTTAAGGGATCGTCCGGGGCCGGTGGCGACGACAGTCCGGAACGCATAGACGACCGGTCGCTAGCCGACGAGAACGGCACAGGCCTGTACGCTGAGGACCGTGCGGCAACGCCACAATCCTGCAGGGACTCTGCCACGGACAGCGATGGAGACGAGAAGCAGCAGCAGCCGCCGGGACCGGATTCGCCGGCCGGTCCGGAACAGCTGAACGATGCAGAACAAAACAAAGCTGTGGGCGACCGGACGTCGGATTTTTCGCCGGAACATGTGGCCGAAACGGAAAACGGCGACTAGACCATGGCACCGTAATGAGGTAATGAAACGATTCGTTTGTAATAAATAATTGGGAACAATTCGATTAAGTAATCATTCGCATATTAGTATAAATATGAATGTGAATAATAAGTGGTGTGTATGTATACACGTGACAGTATGTGTAAATTGTTGTACAGACTCTTTACGATCGACCATTAAGTTTATACTCATAGAATTAGACGAACGGTAGGTTTTTGTTTGTTTGTTTTGCATTTCATTTTATTTTTCGGTAACTTATTCTATAAAAAAAGAAAAAAAAATGTAATCGGTTAGTGCAATTTTTACTTAGAACATCATAATTCGTTAAATTGCTGATGGTAATGAAAACCAAACATTTGTTATCTAGCGGCGACTTTGTGATAAAAAAAAAAATTAAAAAAATGTTATATTCGTTTACGTTGTGTTTTTTCTTTTGTAATTTATGAAAAAAAAAATATTTACGTTTTCTAAAGTAAATTTTATTGCACTACGCCATAGTAGTTTAAATCTACAAATATTTTTGGTTGTAAAGGTTCACCCATATATTTTATTGTAAATAAGTAAAAAACTTCAATATATATATTATTATTATTATTATTATTATTATTATTATAGATATATGCATATAAATATATTGATTATAATATTATAAGCTCTTACGTATGTAGTACATATGATATTTAATCCAAAATAAATGGTAATTGATACACACGGACCAGAGGGATATGATATATTAGTATACATGTATATGTATACATATACCTTATTATATAATACATGTGTATTACATACATGAAAAAAACCGCATAGAAATGTTTGTGCCATAAAAATATGAATAGTAGTATGCGTGTACTAAAATATTTGATGGTCAAGCCCTTTGATACGGATGTTTAATTGATTAATTTTTAATCGCGTGTTCCATATGAACAAACATTTAATTTATTAAGTTTTATTCGTTTTATATACATAAGGTCATCGTTTTATTTATTTTTTTTTTAAATCCCTTCTATTTGTACATAAAAAAAAATTGAATAACTTTTAAGACTATTATTTTGTATTATTGTTCCTTTTAAATGTGTCTCGAGGAAAACCATAATTTACTTAACGAGCAAATGTTTAAAAATAAAACTTTATTGTTCGATTTACATAAGTTTATTATGAGAAAGTCTAATTATGTTTTGGTTTTTGATTTAATTATTTTAATTTTTTTTTTTTTTTTATACGAAAACTCTAATCATATCATTACGACTTTAGGTAGTTATTTTTTTCATATTTAAAGGAACGTTGTGCTTTGATTATACTCATTTGGCCGCTTTCAAATACGAGTATTAGGAATGATAATATCGATTTACATTCCAATAAACCACTAAACCCAAGCAAATATATTGTTTCCAGTTTTTCGTAAATTGTTTTAAATAAAAGACAGTTAAGCATTCCAAAATAAATATCGTAGTATTACGTACATTTATAGTATTTACTTGCATTTGTAATTTTCCTGGGGGGAGTTGAGTATAAAACAAAGCGTTACGGAACTCATGGATTTAATGTTGTATATTGTTATTGATATTAATATAATCAAATAATTTGTGTTCATTAAAAAAAAACATATTTTTAAAATATAGGCTATAAATATAGTCTTTTTTTAAATAAATTGATGTACCATGTTTTTTTCTAATTATTTTCTAAGTCTCAAACATCATGTAGTCCTAACTGTGTATTTCATGATAAAACAAAATATTTTTTTCTAATTTGTACCCTTTCGTTTTTAGCTATTACTTTTATTGAAATAATATGTAATACGATAATTATTGTATTATTATATTATTCTTATAATTATTATTATTATTATTATTATTATTATTATTATTATTATTACAACTTTCGAATTGTCGTTCATTTTACTCTGTACAAAAATATTATTTTTAATAATAATACAAACTTCTTTGAGGTCAATTTTTGTACTAATAAAATTGTTCTTTTTTATGATCATATAATTATATTTATTATTGTTGTATTATTATTTCATTACTTTACCGCTCTACTACTGTGGCTACAGTGTTTTCAGTGTACATCCAGCTTAAAGATGGACTATATAGTTGTTAAGTTGAAGTAATTATCAAATTCTTATTTAAACATTTAATTCTACTAACTGATAATAAAATAATATGGCAAAAAAGTTATCTTTTTAATTTCTCAAATGAGATACTCTGATCAGGATCCTATGTAGTATGTACTTATTTACATTTAATTTTTTTATTTATTCGTATTTGTTTTATGCGTCATTATGCATTATTAGCGCTACTAATAATCAAGATAAAATAACAACCGGCTATTATATTTTAGTAATAGAATCATAGAATGTTTAAACTAACTATAACAAAAATGTTAATTAAGTTTCAACAAACGTTTTATTCAAATCCTGTTAAGAATACTCGTTTAGTTCATTTTGCCCATCGTTGCTGATTATATTTGATAATAATTCTGGTAACTTGAATCAGAAACGAATGGTTTAGGTGATGGTTTTTTTTAAATATTTTAAAACTTATAATATTACATCGAATTTATCTAAAAATTTGTCGTAATTGTTCTTGAGAAACGCACTTAAAATATTATAAAAAATTAAAAGCATTACAAATGATATGTATATTGTACGATGACTACTCTACAACTTTATTTCACCGAATTAAGATCAATTTAGTTTTTATCCAAGCCACAAGTATATAGTATATACCTGTATTGTTATAATATATACACGAACTGGCGCACGTACGTAAAACATTCGCGTTTTGTTTCGCACTAGTTCCGCGACATCAAGCGTATAGCCATATAGGTGTCATTAAAACAAGATAACCGATTAAAATATTATTTATCTTTGTCTGTTTGGTCTGCACGCATGAGGTTATTACGCAAGCGCAGTACACCTTACATAACGTCGCGCGCCGGTATAACATAATGCAAATATAAATCTCATCTAATTTTCGAACAACGACACTTTTCGATTATCCGTTGAAAAGCTTTGTGATTACTATGTAAATGGAAATAGGTTTATTAATGTATACATACATACATGTCATTTTAATATATTATAACATAGAAAATATGTTTATTGTAAATTAATCAAATTTACAATGTCCGTATAATAAATAATAATTAAATAATATTTTATACGTTGATCAAATGAAATTTACGATATGAAATCGAAACAGAAGAAAATAATCAAGTGTAAAACATTCAGACCCATCATGGTCGGTGTACAAACTCGTTTACTTAACCTGTTCGTATTTTACATCGTACATATACGTAACTTATTTGGATACTGTAAAGTGCATATAATATTACCTATATGTGTAAACGTAAATAATTCAAATAAAACTGAAAAAAAAAAACAATAAATGTAATAGGAAAAAGTAAAAAAAATATTAAGCTTTTAACGATCAAAATTTTCATACAGAGTATTAGTAGTTCTTCAGATTATATTTTAGACGGACATAATATTATAATCCATTGTGCACTCAAATAATGTTCGTGAGTCTATGTTTCTTTTGAAACACTTTTTCGGATAAAGAATCCGCACCCAACATTTCAAGCAACAACTCTAAAGATTGGACATTGATCACGAATGATAATCACGAAAAAATACTTTACTCGGGTAATTTTTCGATTTTCTAAGTATTTTTACAAACTCACGGAAAAAACTGAAAAGAGCATTATAATTTACTGTCCTGCATATCATTCACATTTATTTTGATAAAGTAATTAATTTTTTTTGTGCTGATTAAGCATTTAACATGAGGCTAATCCTAAATCTATTTTACCGAGTAATAAATAATGTAAAGATTTAGTGCTGTAGCATTTATTTTTAATTATTTTAAAGAGTAAAATACGACAAAATAGATTATTATCACGAATAATCATAGTGATTAATTGTTTTTGTTTTTAATTTTTAAAATATGCATTGCTTTGACCTTCGCTTCGAATTATTTTTCGAATGCTATGATTTATGATTGATGATTCAAATACGGGTGTATACAGGTACAATTAAATACAACTAATAGAAACAAAGGATTTATACCACTCATCGGAATCAGCGTCAGAAACAGTTGTTTTTACTTAATAAGATCAAAGTATATTCAAATTTAATATAATACACAGATACCTACATTTTTTAATATAATATGTTACTATGTAACATGTTACGATTATTCAATAATTACAGCCAATGTATTAATTATAATGTATAGTAATGCGAAACAAATATGAGTGGTGTCCTTGTTAAAAAAAAAAAAAATAATAATTGGCAAAATTAATAATACGGGTATTCATACATATATATATATATATTTATTTATTTATTTCCTCGTTCAAAGATTGCACAATATTATATTAAAGTTGTAGCAGCTAGAAAACATTTTGACATTACCATTTTGCCGTGGTAATAATCAAAATATAGTCGTGAAGATTGTATTTTTCAGGGATAAAACGACGGTTAGAGTCTACGAATTGAATTAAAATAAAAACACGTTGCGGGCACACAGGTAAACAGAATCGAAGTTTTTCATTTGTATGACGTAGTTTCCCAACACAATTATGGCAGCTTATGTGTACGATGTACGGAGATCGTTCGAATCTCGATTTGACGCATGTTTTCAACAATACGTAAAACACTGCAAAAAATATAGTTTTGATTTGTATTCATCGCAAAACCCAAGAACTTTCTTTCGAGCATAGGTTAGCTATTATAGCCTGTGCACTACACGAATGCGACCGACGACGAATATTTAGGCTAGTTTCCACAAACAGAGGGTGGGAAATTCATCGGCCTACGTTTTGATATGAGATATAATTATAATAATACAAATATATCTGATTCGGTTACGCTACGAACTCAAATAATATATATATGAATAATAAATCGCTAGTGTGCATATAGGTGCAATATAAGGCGCATCAGGAAACACTTGACGACGTCTCGTCCGCGATTGGCAAAGTCCCGCGTTATAGTGACCCGATTACGAATATTCCACGCCCTTCCATTTCATGTAAAATCGTGTGGTGGTGTGCGTGTGTGTATGTGTACAAGGGATTAGGGGAAGACGCGAAAATGTGGAACAGTGTATTGCTGCGGTAGCAAGTATTACAGCAGCGTATCGGTGCGAGCGGCAGTTTGACGGAGAAACGACTCCGGAATACGCCTCACTGCTCCCCTCGCACAGCATTTGGCCTACATATTTTTCCATCATCGGCTACACAGTCTCCGTTCGAATGACATTACGCGACTTCATCGAACCTGTACTTTCATATATACGCATGTGATATACAGCGGGATCGTTCGTACATCACCAGCTGCACATAAAACACGGAGCACTCGGGTGGTGGTGGTGGTGACTGACAGTGCATGGGCAAAATTTAAACAGGTCATAAATCGGTTTTAACCGTTCCGTGCGAATTCGAATTTCATTTTATAGGTGCGGAGGTGGCGGCGATGGCGGCGGTAGAGTTATACGTTCATCCGTACGTGTATATACATACTTGGACGAGAACCCGGAAAATCCGGAAGTGATTGCTCTC